GGGCGCACCGGTGGGTCCCCGAGGCTGGGGAGGGGGTCCCGGGGAGGGGAGGGGTCTCCTGGAAGGATACAGTACAGGTTGGCGTGTTTGATCCACAGGAAGTGGACGTGGCCGTGGGTCAGGACGGGGGTCAGCGTGCCCTCCTCCTCCCGCTGCAGCAGGACCCCCATGAAGTTCTCGATCTCCCCCAGCCCCACGTCCCCTTTGTAGTTGCGGCTGATCAGCGGCTGTGGGGTGACGGGGAGGGGGCGTCAGAAATGGGGACGCCCCCTCCCCCAAAAAAAAAAACAAAAACGCTCACCCCACCTCGGGGGTCACGGGGGTCACCGCCACTGACCTTGGGTGACCTTCAAGGGCAGAGGGGACACGGGGGTGTCCCCCCACCCCGGTGACCCCCGGCAGGGTTTGGGGTGGCCGTGGCAGGGTGTGGGGGGGGTGTCACACCTGGAACACCCCCTCCCCAAAAATCCTGGGGGTCACGGGGGTCACCGCCACTGACCTTGGGTGACCTTCAAGGGCAGAGGGGACACGGGGGTGTCCCCCCACCCCGGTGACCCCCGGCAGGGTTTGGGGTGGCCGTGGCAGGGTGTGTGTGGGGGGTGTCACACCTGGAACACCCCCTCCCCAAAAATCCTGGGGGTCACCGCCACTGACCTTGGGTGACCTTCAAGGACAGAGGGGACACGGGGGTGTCCCCCGGCGGGGGGTGGCGGGGGTCTCACCTTCCCCTTGAGGTCCAGGATGAAGAGGGCGGAGGCGGCCATGGCGCCCGCGCGGCACCGTCACCTCCGGCACCGTCACCTGCCCAGGTGAGCGGCTGCGCCCGCGGCCGCGCGGGGCCTTAAAGGGGACGGCCCAGCCCCACCGTCCCACCCCCCGCCCCCTGGTATTGCCCGCCTTGGGGGTCGCTGAGCCCCCCGATCCCCTGTGGCCGCCCATGAGGGGTCTCCACATCCCCCCCCAAACCATCAGATTCCCCACCCTGGGTGGTCCCTGCACCCCCAGACCCCCGCAGCCCCCACGGGAGGGTCCCGAACCCTCACATCCTCCCCTCTGGGGGGTCCCCGCACCCCCAGACCCCTCCCGGGGTCTCTGTACGCCAACATCCCCCACTCTGCATGGCCCCCCAAAGCCCCCAGACCCCCGCATTCCCATCGGGGTGTCCCTGCACCCTCAAACTCCCACCCTGGGGGATTCCCGCACCCCCAGACCCTCCCGCCCCGCATCCTCCGGTCCCGCCGGAGCCCCGGGCGGGGCGGGACCGGCCCCGGGACCGGCCCCGGGGGCGGATCGGTGCTGAGGGCCGGGCCCGGAGCCGCCCCGCCCGCAGCCACAGCCCCGGGGGTACGGGCAGCTACCGGGGGGGGGTCCGGGGGTACCGGGGGAACCGCCCAGAACCGCCATGGACCGGGCCGCGGGCAGGAGGCACCGGAACGGCGATTACGGTACCGAGCATCCCCCCGACCCCGCCCGGGGATCCCCGGCAGCCCCCGGGTTTGGGACCCCCGGCTTTGGGAACCCCCAGACCACGCTCCCCGTCAGCCCCCGGCTGTGGGACCCCCGGGTTTGGGAACCCCGGGTTTGGGAACCCCCAGACCACGCTCCCCGTCAGCCCCCGGGTTTGGGACCCCCGGCTTTGGGAACCCCGGGTTTGGGAACCCCGGGTTTGGGACCCCCGGCTGTGGGACCCCCGGGTTTGGGACCCCCGGGTTTGGGAACTCCCAGACCACGCTCCCCGGCAGCCCCCGGCTTTGGGACCCCCAGCTTTGGGACCCCCGGATTTGGGACCCCCAGCTTTGGGACCCCCGGATTTGGGACCTCGCAGATTTTGGGCACCCTCAGTGTTTTTTGGAGACCCCCGCCTCGGGACCCCTCAGGTTTAGGGTCCGCAGGTTTGGGGTCCCGCAGGGGGTCCAGACCCTTCAGGATCGGGGATCCCCCCTGGTTTTGGGGGGTTTGAGACCCCCTCCCAAATCTGAGCACACGCAGGTTCAGGGACCCCCGAGGAGGCGGCAGGGGCGGGGACCCCGCACGCTTTGGGGGCTGTGCCGGGGGTCTCGGGGGTCCCGGGGGTGTCCGGGATGGAGGGAGGCAGCACCGGGACCCCTCCCCGTGTCCCCCACCCCGTTTTTCCCGGGCGGGGGGCTCCCCCCGGGCCGGCCTTTGTTCCGTGAGCGCGGGGGGGCCCCCGCAGCCCTGACATCACCGGCGGCCTATGGGCGCCGGGATTCCGCCGCCGCTGCCGGTGATTTATTTACCCCGATATAACCGGGGCGGGGATGGAACCGGCGTCACCGGGAGGGCGTGGGGGGGCTGGCACCGCCCGCCCGCCCTTTCCCGGCACCGACCGGACACTTCCCGCCCGTTCCCGACCTCTGGACTGGGTGCGCACCCGGTACCGCTACCGGAACTCCTCGGTTCTCCCCGGTGCCGGAATTGCCCGGTAACCTCGGGACCGGAGCTCCCCCCCGGTGCCCCCCACCGGTGCAGGAGTCGGTTCTCAGCGGAGCCCCCCGCTGCCGGTGCCGCTCCCCCCGGTGTCCCCCCCGGTGTCCCCCCGGTGTCCCCCCGGTGCACCGCGCGGCCGGTGCTCTCCGGGGCGGGGTTTGGGCCACGTTCGTGCCCCGGAGGGCGGATTTTGGGGGGGGGGCCGTGACGGAGGCGGGGTCGCCTGAGCCCAGCCCAGCCCAGCCCGGCCCAGCCCAGCCCGGCCCGGCGCGGACGGGAACGGGAACGGGAACGGCGGCGGCTCCGGGGGCTCGGGGCGCTCGCCGGGATGGGGGGACACGGGGACAACTACTACGGCAAGCACGGTAACGGCACCGGGGGGGCTCGGGGGGCATCT